GCTAGCTGCCAGCTTTAATTTGAGTAACAACAACACAAACCTGCTGTTAGCCTGATCCTGATTAATTTATTTATAGCAAAGGGGAATGATCCCATGCTTGCTAGAGCATGCAAGTTAGCTCTGCCGCGACACCGTATCTGAGCTGAGGTTTGTGGCCACGACGGGGCTTCTCACCACATGTTTACCTCCACTCTCCGCCCAAGTTAGATAGCCAAAAGCCACAGTCTCCTTAGTTCGTCTTGGACCATTTATACTCAGCACAAAGCTCAGCTTCTCACCCTCCTCCTTGAACTTCAATGTGTTTGGAACCACTCCAACCTCAAACCCTTTTAAGGGTGTAACGCTTGCAACGTAGGTCGACTGTCCCTTTCCTATGTAGGTCACTGTCCTCCGGAATTCTTGAGTGGTTTGTACATCCCGCTTCGAATCGTTTGCGTTGAAGAATGCAATGAAAGAAGGATAGTTAAGATCCAAGGAAGGAGTTGAGCAATTGTTCGAGGCTGATTTGGTGATGGTTTGGATTTGCTTGTTGGTGTAGTTCAGTGCACAAAGGAGATTTATGTAATCTTCTATGTCCGCGTCGTATATGAGCCCCGGGTCAAGGGCTTTGTTGGGATTGACATGACCCGCTCCCATGGCTAGAGGACTGGCTGGCTGGTAACCATCACCAATGTCTTTAATGGGGCTGAGAGTGTTATCCAATGTGTCTGTTGTCGTCATCATGGCCGATCTAATAGCAGCAGGGCTCCATTTTGGATACGCAGCTTTCAGAAGCCCGGCTAGCCCGGCTGCATGCGGGCACGCCATGGATGTCCCGGACAAGAGATTAAAATTACTAAACAAGTCTTTTTTGTTCACCACGGCTACCGCGTTATTTTGAGGCCATGCAGCTAGGATTAATGACCCTGGAGCCAGAATGTCTGGCTTCAGGGTAAATGGGAAGCTGGGGGATGGCCCTCTAGAGGTGTAGCTTGTTGTAACCGGTGCTGGTTTGGCACCAAGAAGTGTCTTTCGAAATTCCAAGCTTGCTGTTGGCTGAGAGTTGCTGTTGATGTAATCTTTGATCGCTTCGCCTTCCTTCGGATTGAGAAAGATTGTGGGAAATGAGCTTTGGAGTAACAGCTCCAAGTCAGTGTTGTTGGTAATAAAAAGGCCTCCGGAAACATTTGCGTTGTTAACATTATCAACTTGTACGCCTAACGAATCATTTCTGTCCTGGCACACAACTATCTTCTTCCCCACCTGTTTCAATTTTTTCAAACTGTCACATGCATCAAGGAAAACAATTGGGAATTGGGTTGAAGATGAATTCCCCGGAAAAAGAGTAGACCCCGTGACGGAGCCTCCGTTGCCAAAATGCGCAGTTCCTTCAAAATCACGGTCGATTGTGGCGGCAGCAACGGTGAGAACCCATGGGATGCCATTGTGCAAGGTGCCAAAGAAAGGGCCCTCATTTCCTGCAGATGTAGACACAAAGACACCTTTCTCCAAGGCCGAAAATGTGGCTATGGCAACAGGGTCCTCATACAAAGCAACCCCATCAAGCCCAAATGACAAGGACAAAACATCCACACCGTCTATAATCGCTTGCTCAATGGCAGCAATTATATCAGAAGACAAAGCGCCCTCTTCCCAAAGAGCCTTGTACATGGCCACGTGAGCCTTCGGAGCCATGCCACTAGCTGTGCCCGGGGCATAACCAAAATACGATGCCCCGGGCACATAATTTCCAGCTGCTGTGGATGAGGTGTGGGTCCCATGCCCATCTGTGTCCCTTGTTGAATTCACAGAAATGGTCAAGTTGGGGTTTTGGGCAATGAGCCCTTTGTTAAAGAACCTTGCCCCAATCAACTTTTTGTTGCACAAAGAAGAGTTGAATTGGGTGCCGCTCTCGCATTCACCTTTCCATCTTGGTGGGATTTCTGACATTCCATCGTCACTATAGCTCTCACTTTCTGGCCAAACACCAGTGTCCACCAATCCAATTATGACATCTTTGCCATAATCTGCAACCGGCCAAGCTCCGGATTTGGAGCTGAGGCCAAGAAACTGAGAGGAGTGAGTAGTGTCTGGTTTTACTGGCAAGTCTTTGACTGAAGAAATGTAGCCTGGAGAGGTTTTTAAGGCCTCAAGCTCAGAAAGGGAGAGACTTGCACTGAACCCATTTATGACATGAGAATAACTGTAAATAAGTTTAGAAGAGAGGGCAGAAGAAGAGGAGGTTGTGGTGGTGTTTGGCCTAAACTTGCTCAGTGCAGAGTTCACTGTGGCCAAGTACCATGAATGGTGATCAGCAAAGGCTTTTGGCATCATGGTTGAGTCCATGTGGATGATATAATTGTTGGGTTGAGCCGAAGTGGTGGAGATAATTGCAATGGCAAGCCAAAAACACAAGCAAACATGATGACCAATAGCCATTGAAATTGAGCACAAGGGAGGGAGGAAGAGAAAATTCAGAACACAATATTGAATTTGTAAAGTTCGTAATTTTTATAGAGAGTTTTAAGGAGCATGGGAACCAATCAAGATATTCCTCACCACCATCTGATTTGTTCCAACTTGTCCATTTGGTATCTTATAATTTGTAGGGGACCCTTGATCTCATCATCTCCATACATGATTAATGGATGACTTCAAAATTTACACACTCCCCTAACTTATGGATTCTAATCATTGTGATCCTTAACATTTCAGTCACTAGATCAGGATCCTTCGTTTGGCAAGCCATCTTGATGATGCTCTCTGGTGGTTTTTTTGTTGTTGTTGCACCAAAGTCAGAAAAAGGGAGGGGGTTTTCTCACACACACTACTAAACTGTCCTGAGGGTTCGAACATAAGACAACTAGTCTACAAGTTAATGCGGCTAGTTAGCATTGCTCTTTGGTTGCTTGCTTGCTGCTATTTGACAGCATTGTCATGATATGGATGGACCGCCACAAAAACAGGGGAATATGGTGAATTGGGTAACCACCGCATTCCTAAGGCAGCAAGTGGACGTAAATATCAATATGATTAACAAAAATATAGTGAACCCATCATGTTCCTGTCACTTTCAACAACAACAAAAAAAGAAAAAAAAGAGAGAAATTTCCTGAGCATTTTGGTTTTTTCCTCATGCTGGTTCAGATGTTCCTTTCAAAAGCTAACATAAAATTTAGTCACTTTGTGCCATTTGGCACGTTATGGCACACCAATTACATTATTGGTTATTTTCATGTACAAGTTTTAAATGTAAGAAAGGCCAGATAATAAACCACACGCATCATAATCTTATATATACGATCGCATATCTGGGTTTAAAAATAATAAAAAATATATTTTTGGAAATTTTGCACATCTAAAGTTACCCGATTCTCCAATTGGTTTTATCCTTCCAAGTGAAGGGCGAGCTTTGATGTTTCAGTTTCACTCAGACAAAACCAGAGGCTGAGAGCAGTTGCTTGTGTCTAAAGGGAATATGGTTGTTTTTATAGTGCACAATTGTAATGGACCGCCACTGTAGGATTTTCCTTTTGTACGGCCAAAGTGCAATCAAGCAAAGCACAGAAGATATTTCTACAGAAAGAAAGAAAAAGCAACCTTGTGAAAATGGGCGGTGCATTTTGATCATGACATTGCCAAATTCCAGAGTCAACTGGTTGGTTGTTAGTTACACGTCGGCTCATTCTTTTGTGCCCATTTTCATTTTGAACATCAAAACTACTATATATAAAAATAGGTTAAAGCAAAAGTTGTAATGCAATTTCTTTCCCCATCTTACCAAAACAAACTACATTTCAAATTTTTTATTGTTTTTATTTTGACAAATACGATATTCTGAACTATTTTATTGTATGGGAAATGGAGTTTGAACTCGAGCGAAATGAAGTAGACATAGGGTATTTACCAATTGATCTAACCCACATTTGCCATTTCAAGCAATTTCGATTTACCTCCTTTTCTTTTTCTTTTTAACAAACAAGACATTTTGGGATGATCCGCTAGGCCTCCTCAGATTCTAGAATTAGCACTTGGCTACCCATAATTGGTAAGGCCCAATTGAGCTCAAACCCAGGACACATGACAGTAAAATACTAGGTAAAACATCCAACCCATGATATTTGCACAACAACCACTCCTTAAATCACCCGATTGCATCACTCCCTTCAGGTAAATTATCTGATTTTTCATGATTTCCAAGCATGAAATATATTCGAATAATTAAAATGCCATAAAATTTCCAATAATTTTTTAAAGATAATTACCATGGTTATTTAGATAATATCTAACAAAATCACCTCAATTTTCCTTCCTTTCAACGGCCCATATTTAGAGACCAAATTTACCAAAAAAATGATTTTGACTTGCTCCCCTTGCTAGCTTATGAATTATAACAAATTTTGGGGTTGAAACAGACTAAAGAATGTTACCAAATGGTAGCAATACACTCCTGCATTTAGATAACATATTGTGTATGTCTTGAACAGATTGGGCGTAGCCTGCATAGTGATCAAATTACCTAACAGAAGACAACGACAACGACAACAACAACAACCAAAAAAAAAAAAAAACTAAAGGGTTAGAATCTTAATACAAAGATTTACAGAGAATCCAAGGGATTTATAGCTTAAGTTGTAAAGATCCACTCGAGGACTGGTGTTCGACTTCTCTTTCCCACAATGTGGTTCTATGGAATAGAATTATAGTGAATGTGAGCACTTTCGTTTATGGCTCATTATAGAAAAATTATAAAGGGTTTCCCGTTTATGTTATGTCCTTCATTTCCATTCAATGATAGAGAATATCTCCAAATCACTTTAGTTTATAGCTCTTGGAAAAGAGTTTTGTAAAAATCTTTGCTCCAAAATCCTAAGCCAATTAATTACACATGCATGTACTTGAACATGACCTTCTAATTAAACCATATACCCTAATAAACATGTTTTTTTTTAAATATTTATAGAGCTCCCAAAACCTTTCTGCTATCTGCATCTCCCACATCTCCTCTGCCATAAGAGGCCTAACTACAAAGATGGGTTTGTGCACCTGATCTTGCCTCTGCTACTCTCAATGCTGCTACAAATAAACACTGCTGAAGAATACAAGACATATATCATCCACATGAACAACTCCCACAAACCTGCATCTTTCTTAACCCATGAGTCATAGCACAGGTCCATCCTAAAATCACTACCATCACCTCATGCAGATCAAAATGACAGTGAGGTTGCTGTACTCATACTACCATGTCATGCCCAGCTTCAGCGCCAGGCTCACACCCTCTCAGCTGTCTGAACTGGAGAAATCTCCGGCTCGTGTTGCCATGCACCCGGAGTCTTTTGGACAGTTGTACACAACACACAGCCCCAAGTTTCTTGGCCTCAAACACAAACTTGGCTTATGGCCTGCTGCGTCCTATGGTGAAGGCGTGATCATAGGAGTTATTGATTCAGGAATTTGGCCAGAGAGTGAGAGCTTCAGTGATAAGGGAATGCCACAAGTCCCAGAAAGATGGAAAGGCAAGTGCGAAAATGGAACAGCATTCACCTCATCTCTATGCAACAAGAAGCTCATTGGGGCTCAACCTTTTAGCAAAGGGCTCAAAGCTGCAGGACAACCCATCTCGGAGTATGACTATGACTCACCGAGAGACTCCTTAGGTCACGGAACCCACACATCATCAACAGCTGCAGGCCATCATGTAGTCAGTGCAAGTCATTTTCGATATGCAAAAGGCACAGCAAGAGGGGTGGCACCGCGCGCACATGTGGCCATGTACAAGGTCTTGTGGTCAGAAGATACCATATTTAGTGCAAGCAGCGATGTGCTTGCCGGGATGGACCAGGCAATTGCTGATGGCGTTGATATAATATCACTGTCAATTGGCTTGCAAAGGCTCCCTTACTATGACGATGTCATTGCCATTGCTTCGCTTTCAGCGATTGAGAGAGGTATTGTTGTCGTCTGTTCTGCTGGGAATGATGGTAACTCCAATTCGACGAACAATGGAGCACCCTGGATCACAACAGTAGGAGCTGGCACGCTTGATTGTAGTCTCACTGCATCATTGACTCTAGATAATAACTTGACAGTTGAAGGAACATCATACTTCCCAGTGAACGCGTACATTACAGATAAGCCATTGTATTATGGGAAAGAAAATGTGAAGAAAGCAACATGCGACTTTGGGGCATTGGATCCTAAAGAAGTGGCTGGAAAGGTTGTCTTATGTGATAACACTACGGAGTTTGATGTTGGACAGCAAAAGGAACACGTAGAGAAGGCAGGTGCTTTTGCTGGAATCTTCATGACCAATCTTTCAACTATGGTCCCAGAAGAGTTCAACATTCCTGCTATGGTTCTGTCATCCGATACAGGGGCTTTGATTACAGAACATGTAACAAAGGTCAGCGCAACTCAAGCTAAGAGCCTGACTTTTGTGCACACAAAGTTTGTTGCAAAACCAGCACCACAAGTGGCCCATTTCTCTTCAAGAGGACCGGACCCAATCAATCCAAGTATTCTAAAACCAGACATTATTGCTCCAGGGGTCGATGTGCTGGCTGCATTTCCACCTAACAAGAAATACATATTTAGCGTAAACAACTACAATTTGGCGACAGATTATGCATTGATGTCAGGGACATCAATGGCAGCACCCCATGTTGCTGGAGTGGCAGCCTTGCTGAAAGCTGTTCACCGAGAATGGAGCCCTGCAGCCATCCGATCAGCGATCATGACCACAGCATACACAGATGACAATACTCACACCACCATACCAAAGGGGCAGTCTTCCCGCCAAGCCCTTAGATTTTGGGGCAGGCCACATCAACCCAAACAAGGCCATGGACCCTGGACTGATCTATGACATGGATGTGCAAGATTATATTGAGTTCCTATGTGGCCTTGGGTACAATGCTAAGCAGATGAGGGCTGTTATTCGACAAAGGCATTGGAGTTGCAGCGCACAACCTACGGAACTAAACTACCCTTCTTTTATGGTCATCTTTGATGGAAAAGACTTCCCAAGAGCCAAAAAATTTAGCAGGGTTGTGACAAATGTGGGAAATAAAAAATCAATTTATAGAGCAGTTTTGGAAGTTCCTAGCGGAATGCGGATTGCAGTGGAGCCTAACACTCTAAAATTCACTAAAAGACATCAGAAGCAATATTTTTGCTTGAGCTTAGAGATTGAAAACAATGCTCCGAACACGACCTATGGTTATCTCAAATGGGTAGATCAATATAACCACATTGTATCAAGCCCTGTAGTGGCAATGAATCACTAATTGATATGAACAGCATATTCATGTGCAGGACTCAAGATTATTTTATTCCTTATCGATTGATTTATGTAAATACTGAATAAAGCAACACATTTTTATATCATAGAAGCATGGTGCCTTTAAAATTTTGCATCAATGAAATTCTTTTTCAGATACCCTTAACCTCATCTTACCCAAAAGAAGTAAAATTGCGAACCCAAAACCACAATCAGAATGCTTGAAAGAATGGTATAAACAAAGTACAAATATTTTGAAAGAAAAAACTCACAGGCAGAGAAAGAGAGTTGTAAAACACACCTTAGATACAAGCCTGTTACTTCCTTCAATGGCAGCAGTCAAAGTCCACAAAGAAAAGCCGAACAGGGAACCCAAACTCCACCATGAACGTGTCTCTCCATCTCGAATGAGCTTGGGTGAGTAAGGGTGAGCTGCAGATAAATGCCCCATCTCCCCTGATGTTCTTATTTTTAGTAAAAGCCCAATTTTGTAGCTTCTATTATTTTCAGAACTAATTACGTAAATTTGAGTAGAGGTTTCTTTATATTTAACAGGCCCAATATATTCTTCTTCAACCCCACAAAACATAAGAATTTAAATAAAATTTACAAAAAAAATTCTATAATGAAGTTGACATAAAAATTAAGAAGACATTATTTGTGATTTACATTTTAAGCTTCATTTTAGTGTTGGGCTATACTAATTTTTTCTTTTTTAAAAATAATGGAAAAAACCAAGTATAGCCAGGCGGCTATACTATTTTTATTTAAAAGGGTTATTCGCAGCAATGGTCCCTCAACTATACCCCAAGTTACACTTTGGTCATTCAACTCAAATATTAGTTGCAGAGGTAACTCAATTAGGTGTTTTGTTGCACCGTTAGTCCTACCGTCAAGTCTTTTACTTTTTCTATTTAAAATGATGACGTGGCAAGCATCTCTTAGATTATTGATGGGCAGATGTGACTTTTCAATTAAGATTATTTGTAGCAATGATCCCTCAACTATACTCGAAGTTACATTTTGGTCACTCAAGTAGGTGTTGTGTTGCACCATTAGTCCCTACCGTTAGAGAGACTTAACAGTAGGACTAACAGTGCAACAAAACACCTAATTGAGTGACTTCTGCAACTAATATTTAAGTTGGGTGACCAAAGTGTAACTTAGGGTATAGTTGAGGGACCATTGTTGCGAATAATCCTATTTAAAAAATTATAAAAAGGTAGTATAGCCGCGCGGGTATGCCATTTTTATAAAAAAAAAAATTAAAAACTGCGTATAGCCATTTAAAAAAATTAAAAAAGAACCCAGTACCGCCACCGGCTATACTATTTATTAAAAATTTAAAAGAACCCAGTACAACCGGGCGGCTATCCTATATATTAAAAAAATTAAAAAAGAGTATAGCCGAACGGCTATACTATTTATAAAATCATTAATTTAAAAAAAGAGGACCAGCCTAGTGCCTAAACGCCCACGTGTCCAAAAAAAAGTATTAAACCGTAGTATAGCCGAGCGGCTATACTATATATTAAAAAAAATTTAAAAAGCATAGTACGGCCGTTCGGCTATACTATTTAAAAAAACAATTTTAAAAAGCAGAGTATAGCCCACGTGTCAAAAATAATAATAAAACCGTAGTATAGCCGCGCGGCCATACTATATATTAAAAAAAAATTTAAAAGCATAGTACGGCAGTTCGGCTATACTATTTTAAAAAACAATTTTAAAAAGCAGAGTATAGCCGGACGGCTATACGATTTATGAAATTTTAAAAAAATAAAAAGAGTCACGTGTCAAAAACAGTAAGCCTGGTACAGCCGCGCGGCTATACTACGTATAAAATAACAAAATTTTTTTTTTAAAAAGGACAAGCCTAGTGATCAGGTGCCCTCGTGTCAAAAACAATATAGCAGCACGACTATACTCATTAAGTACATTATATTTAGAAGGTAGAGCCGCGTGGCAATACTATTTAATAAAAAATATATATTAATATAATTAATTTAAAAAATTTAGTATATATTATTTTTATTCAATAATATGTGAAAATTATGTGTATAATACGTGAATTTTGTGTGTATTATTGAAAATTTTATAAAAAAATACTTGTATTAAACTTGAAAAATATATACGTACATGTACAATATGAGTATTGTACGTTTGCTTTTAAAAAAAATCTGAATTTTACCGAATCTTTAAGACATGTACAGAACACAAATGTATTATTGAAAAATACATGCGTACGTGTATAATACAGTATTAAACGTGAAAGTGCTAAATTCTTTAAGTAAATTTACCATCAGAAATCAAGTTTCAGTTGCTTGCCACCCTCAAAGCAAGCATTTTTGTTTTTCGTTTTTCATGCTCTCTCTGTCTTCCTCCTTTGTCTTGGTTGACCCGATGGATATGAATCCAATAAAGGCATTGCCCAATTGCAAGGTACAACTCTTTTATGTTTTGGATATTATATCATGAACTTTTAACCTAGATGATAATGGGAAAGGGATAAGAACTTACTAGTAAATTTCAGCTTTTGGTTGCATTTGAAATTTTACATATTCAATGTGAAAAAGCTGGAGCATGCCTGCAAACCCAGTTAATGTCATGTGGACCCGTAACATATAGCCCTTTGGTATTGTGAATGGATATCTGAAATGAAAACAAAAGGCATAAAAAAGAACAACCTCTGGGTGGCTTGACTTGGCATGCAGATTGGTTTTAACTTTCAACAGAGTGATGAGAACTCCTAAAGATTAGAGTTCAAAGAAAGGAAAAAGACAGAAAAGAAAATCCAGGCCAACAAGAAGCCAGACAAGGAGGACGAAAATCCAGGCCAACAAGAAGCCAGACAAGGAGGACAATCCAATTGATCTAAATAGCAACGAAAGAACCTATAGTACACGTTTTGTTTTGGCTAATGCAGTGGACTATTTCCCCTTTTCAATGCAAACACAAGAAACCAAACAAAATCCAATATCATTCACAGTCAAGAACTTGACATATGGAAAATCGACCAGAAAGTTTTATTAATTAAACATGGACATTGAACATAACGTTCTCCGCAATTAAACAAAGAAGGTCAACATCATCCCACAAGCAACACAACATGGTTCCTATAAAGCTCAACAATCCCTCCATCTCCTCTGCCATAAGATTCATAACTAGAAAGATGGGTTTGTACAATGTGATCAGTCTGTTACTGTTAATGTTGCTGCAAATAACCAATGCAGCATCAAATGCTGAGGAATACCAGACATACATAATTCATATGGACCATTCTCACAAGCCTGCATATTTCTTGACGCACGAGGCATGGCACAGGTCCACCTTAAAATCATTGTCGTCGACATCTCCTGCAGATCGTGATGACAGTGAAATGTTGCTCTACTCATACAGCCATGTCATGCATGGATTCAGTGCCAGGCTCACACCCTCTCAGCTGTCTAAATTGGAGAGTTCGTCAGCTCATGTTGCCACTTATCCGGAATCTTTTGGCAAGATGTTCACAACACACAGCCCCAAGTTTCTTGGACTCAGACAAAACCTTGGCTTATGGCCTGCTGCCTCATATGGCCAAGATGTGATCATAGGGATCATTGATTCAGGAATTTGGCCAGAGAGTGAAAGTTTTGGTGACAAGGGAATGTCAGAAGTGCCAGAAAGATGGAAAGGCGCGTGTGAAAACGGAACAGCATTCACCCCATCTCTCTGCAACAAGAAACTCATTGGCGCTCGATCTTTTAGCAAAGGGCTTGAAGCTGCAGGAATAAGCATCTCCAAAGAATATGACTATGACTCGCCAAGAGACTTCCTTGGTCATGGAACCCACACATCATCAACAGCTGCAGGCAATCATGTACTCAGTGCAAGTCATTTTGGATATGCAAAAGGCACAGCAAGAGGGGTGGCACCGCGCGCACATGTTGCCATGTACAAGGTCTTGTGGGCATCAGATTCAGAAAAGAGCGCAGCTACTGATGTGCTTGCTGGGATGGACCAGGCAATTTCTGATGGGGTTGATATCATGTCACTGTCTATTGGCTTTGACTTCCTTCCTTACTACAACGATATCATCGCCATTGGTGCTCTTTCAGCAATTGAGAAGGGGATTGTTGTTGTCTGCGCTGCTGGGAATGATGGTTGGGCTGAAAATTCAACATACAATGGAGCACCCTGGATCACAACAGTAGGAGCTGGCACGCTTGATCGTAGTTTCACTGCAACATTGACTCTAGACAACGGCTTGACAGTGGAAGGAGAATCATACTTCCCAGAAAGCGTTTACATTTCTGATAAACCATTGTACTACGGGAAAGACAATGCAAGCAAAGCAATATGCTACTATGGGGCATTGGATCCTAAAGAAGTTGCTGGAAAGGTAGTCCTCTGTGATAACACCATGAAGACGGATGTTGATGGACAAAAGGAAGAGGTTCGGAGTGCAGGTGCTTATGCTGGAATCTTCATGACAGATATGTCACTTTTAGACCCACAAGACTTTGTCATTCCAGCTCTAATTGTGCCAATTTCTACTGGGGCTTTGATTAGAGAGTACGCAACACAGGCCAATACAACAAAAGTTAAGACCTTGACCTTTGTGCACACCAATTTGGGGATAAAACCAGCACCACAAGTAGCATTCTTCTCTTCAAGAGGACCAGACCCGATCACTCCAGGCATTCTAAAACCAGACATTCTTGCTCCAGGGGTTGACGTGCTGGCTGCAGTTGCACCTAACAGGTTGTTCATAGAAGTAAACAACTATAATCTGGCGTCAGATTATCAACTGATGTCAGGGACATCAATGGCAGCACCCCATGTTGCTGGAGTGGCTGCTCTTCTAAAGGCTGTTCACCGCGAATGGAGCCCAGCAGCCATTCGATCAGCAATCATGACCACAGCATACTCCCTCGACAATACTAAGACCACCATAAAAGACCAATGGGGTGGTCTTCCAGCCACACCTTTGGAATTTGGTGCAGGCCACATCAACCCAAACAGAGCCATGAACCCTGGACTCATCTATGACATGGATGTGCAAGATTACATTGAGTTTCTATGTGGTCTTGGATACACTGCTGAGCAAATGAGTGCTGTTATCAGGCGAAATCAATGGAGCTGCCACCAACAGCCTGCTGAACTGAACTACCCTTCTTTTATAGCCATCTTTAATGGCACAGACGGTTCTCCGAAAGCCAAAAACTTTAGCAGGGTTGTGACAAACGTGGGAGACGGCACATCGATTTACAAAGCATTTTTGGAAGTTCCTAGTGGAATGAAGATTGCAGTAGAGCCTAGTAGTCTAACATTCACTGGGAAAAATCAGGAGCAAGGTTTTGTTTTGAGGGTCGAAATCGATAACGATGCTCCTAAGGTGACCTATGGTTATCTCAAATGGATTGATCAACAAAACCACATAGTGTCAAGCCCTGTAGTGGTCATTAATTACTAGAGTTCATGTCATGATACTACCAGCATATTCATGCATAGAAGGTATCTCAAATGGATTGATCAACAAAACCACATAGTGTCAAGCCCTGTAGTGGTCATTAATTACTAGAGTTCATGTCATGATATACTACCAGCATATTCATGCATAGAAGGAAAAAAAAATTGAACTTCATAGCATCTTCCAGTTGTTAAACTGCTACTCTTTGACAGTCTTTGAACGAAGAGAAACAGAGAGTAGACAAAAAAGAAGATCAAGATAAATAAAGAGAAGAAAGATGTGGAATCTCATATTGTTTCCTGACTCATTTCTATTCTTATATATCTTTTGAATAAAGTGGTGCGAACACAAGATTTCTGGGTAGTTAGATTCTAAATATACGAAGAGCATATCAATTATTCAGGTTCTTTGTTTTTCTTTTGTTAGTCCATCCAAAGAAGAGTGAGAAATTATATTCTTGTAGAATATCTTTTTTCTTCTTGAATAACACCATGAAAAAGCTTCCATCTTTTCCTTTTCTACAGTAACAGTAGCCTATAATTAAGGGCAAGGCTTGCTCTTTTTTGTCATACGATGTTTCGTTCAGAGACATTCAACTTTCGCGGGCAGTCGTTGCCTTTAGTTACTTTCTCCCCGATTTGCCGTGTCGGTGGTCTCTGATAGTCAAACGCATAAATCATGCGAGCTAATGACCCTATATTAAATTATTCTTTTCAGTAAAAAGAAAAAACCTGAAAATTCATAAAATCAACAAATATTAATTATAATTTATATACAAAAATATTATGAAAATCTCCAAAACTTAGGAAGGCATTGGCATATGGGCACATATGTCATTTCATCAAAAATTGGTACCAGGCGGCAATGTACAGCTGCGAGAGGTAGAGCCCCATGGAAGACAAGTCCTTTTTTTTAAAGTGCTGTTTCTCTTTACTATCTGCATTTTTCTGTTTAAGCGACATGTCAAATACCACAGATTTTCAGTCTAAAAGCGAAACAAAAAGAAAACAAAATGCAAACCACCAACAATGCTTTTGGTGTGGGGCCTAATGAACAAAGAACAAAAAGCCCCCTTCAGAAAAATACAGAAAGAGAAGGTCCCTCTGATGACTTTTACATTAACACCAAACCAAACCGGCATAAAGCATAATTATATGGGGTCCAAAGGTTGAACACCCTTATGGTTTATGCATACAACATTCATAGCTGTCAAGGTTTCTTCTGCAGCAGAAACAAACCCCACACCCTTAAAGCCTGTGACAGAATGCAATACAAACTCTTGTGAATTTGTAGGACCTAAGTTATTCTAAGTAAACCTAAACCTAGCATGAATGCTGTTGATATTGCCTCTTAACTGAAATTCCCTAGTAACAATGCCTGCATGTTGTTCTTTGTCAGTCAAAAACTTCAATAATCAGAATTTACAACTTACCTATTCAGTGAAAAAAATTGGTTCATATTAAGGCCATAAGATTGCGATGATTCGAGAATTACTGTTTATGAAAATTCCCTTAGGACCGAATTACCATAGAAGAGCCGGTGCAGTGAAAAACAGTAATCTGGTTTATTTCAATTACATTGAGAGAAAGGAGCGAAATGCTAGAGAATCCACCTAAGTGCAAGCTCATATTGACATCAATGGCTATACAGGGGAAGTAATTAACAGCTACACAATTTAACCTATCCCTAGACAGAAGCATAGGGGCAAAACAAGGTGAGTCAATTCACCTTACTCATGAAACTGGTGACTGGTGAGGCTAATGCTCTTCTTCCAATTCTCGCTTTCTCCATAATGACTGGTTAGTTTGGACACCACTGTCATACCCACTACTATCACCTGATTCAATCACACGCTTGTCCATCCTTGAAGCATCACGCGGTGACCGTCCATATTCTCTTCCAGCCCTGCGGTCCTGAAATTATTGACAGAAAAATTAATCATGGATGAGAAATAAAATCCATGCAGGTAAACTTTGTTTAACATGCTTTCGTGTGAAGAAAAAAAAAGAAAAAAAGAAGAAGAATAGGGCAAACCTCATTTTTCTATAAAAGTTCTTTGAATACAATTAGATCAATTTACAGTGAAAAATCTCATGTGGAGACTATAGACCTATCAATTCATAATAATCTTATGTAACATGAGTTGCTTACACGCAAAGCACAAATCAAAATTTAAGATGAAACCATATATATTTTTGGCGCATTTGCGATAACAAGATCTAGGGGACTCCAATTATTTATCTCAAAGATTTGCACATTATATCAAATCGACAATTTCTTAAAACACTGGATCTAGGTAAAAGAAATGCAGCACCCATGCAACTAATGTGAAATCTAAATTCCATGCCAATCTTTAATCATGTAGAAATGCTTGTATTTTTAGCTAAAGAAATAGATAAAAGGTTGTCGGTAGTTGCAGAATGCAAGTCCATGAAGACAAATAACGAAACACTTAGACAGCAGTTTCAAACAAGGTTTCGCTTCATAAATCAGCTAGGAAATAGACATCCAGCTGGTAAGATTAATTAGGGGAAGAAATGAATGCAAACTTACATCCCGGAAAGGGAACTCATCGGCTTCAAGCATATGTACCACATGCCCCATTTTTGGCCTCTTTTGAGCATTCGGGTCCACGCAACGCAAGGCAACCAAAAGAGCACGCTTCAGTGCCCTTGAAGAAGGTTTCTCTGGTAACTTAGGATCCAAAACTCCCTCGGCAGTTCGATTTGTAACCATTGCTTTAAGCCACTCAACTAGGTTCACCTGAAGTTTGATCACCAATCAGTACCAGTTATTCTGGTTGGAAGACAATGTTATCAAGTAATCTTGATCATGAAAACAAACCTCTCCTTGAGGGCGGCTATAGTCCACTGGGTTTCTCCCAGAAATTATCTCCATTATAAGAATTCCGAAACTATAAACATCACTTCTTTCATTCAACATGCCAGTACTAGCATATTCTGGAGCTACATATCTACAAAACAAAACCAAATATGTGATTCAGTTTTGCAAGAACAAGATCATGACTCTCCAGATACAAAGCACGTAATAGGCAAGTAGGGAGGTTAAACTCACCCGAATGTTCCCATCACACGAGTTGTCACGTAACTCCTTTCTGAGCCCAGGAGCTTTGCTAAGCCAAAGTCAGATACTTTTGAATTCCACTGCTTATCAAGTAATATGTTGCTAGACTTTATATCACGATGAACGACCTTGGGCTCAAGCCCCTCATGCAAGTATGTCAACCTATAATGTTCGTAAAGTTTTAGTTACGATAAACAACAAAGATTCAAAAACAACTGAGGTTATTCAACTCAAGGTATACCCTTTCGCGGTCCCAAGTATTATATTCATACGAATCTCCCACGTAAGAGGGCTGGTAGGCCCAACATCTCCATGAAGCCATTGTTCCAAATTTCCATTGTCAACATACTCATATACAAGCATCCTATAAAAACTCAAGTTTATTAGCGCAATCATTTTAGGAAATTATATTATACTTAATCCATAAAGAAGAAATCATCAGAAAGATTTTTAACAAATTAGCCATCAACAGAATGTCTTGCATTAAACAAAAGATCGAAAGAATATACTTTATAACAATGAAGGTAAAATTACCTATGAGCTCCTTCAGCACAATAACCAAGCAACCTTACTAAATTCTTATGGCGAACACGGCCAATTGCTTCAACTTCGACCTTAAACTCCTTCTCAGCTTGTCCCCTGAACCAAGCCAACTAAGCCATTAAGCTTTCTCATGGCCAACTCCCCAATACAAAGGTCATGCAGCAGCTGGAACATAAATAGTATATTTTGCCCAAATGCATGAAAATCTAACCAATTTAGTTCACTGCCCAAGCTAAGGTCTCATATTTCCCAATTGGGTTCACAGTGAACATGATAATAATCTCGAATGACCTAGAACTAGTACAATCCATAGCAAAAGTTCAAAATAAACTCTGCAAAACACTAACTACACCATAAAGAAGCGAAATTTACATACTTGTTATTGAGCAAATTCTTGACAGCAACCATATGATTATCCTCAAAGATACCACGGTACACAATTCCATAGCCACCTTCACCAATCACATTCTCATCAGCAAACCCATTAGTAGCATCCTCAAGCTCTCTGAGAGTGTACCAATGGCCCCAACCCAAATGCGAAACTTCAGGCACAGCCATCAGCCCCTGGTCCCCAGAACGAGCCTCACCACTCCCATGCGAGGACCCGCCTCCCTTCTCCGGGTACGAAATCCGATGGTCCTTCCCAATCTCAATGTGAATTCTTTGTCGGCCACCACCACCAGCGGGGCTCTCATGATCCTCTGGCTGAAGAAGCAGGGCTTGGGCTCTGGTTAAGGGCTCCGAGTCAGCAACCGGGTCGGGGTGGTTCTGGTGCTGGATGGGATTCGGGTCGGGTACTGGGTTCCGAGCATGGTCGATTCGGATTTCTTGGATCTCCTTAGAGACGTTCGGGATGGTTGAATTCTGATTAAAGGTCTTGGCTTTTGAGGAACTACTGTTGCGCCGTGAAGTGAACCAGAGTGATATGAGGAAGAGAACCAGAACAATGGCTGCTCCTACACAAATTCCCAAAACAACCCACAAGTGCAAACCGAAAATGGAGGTCCGCTTTGAGAGCTGGTCGTTCAGAAACGAGTACCCAGACATTGTAATAGTCTTCACAGAAGAAGAATGAGAAAAAAGAAAGAAGAAGAATGCTTAGAGTGGAGACATAAAGTCAGACAAAGAGAGAGTATACAAGGGACAGTGGGGACGCTATAAATGAGAGAAATTGAGAAATTGGGCTTGCTGAGCTCAGACTGAGTGGGGTTGAGAGAGAGCCAGCACAAATCATGATGAGAATCCTCCACTAACCTTCTTCTTATGCTTATGTACAAGTGTAAATCCCTGTGCGTGTAATTATGGTGTCTATTTCTGGTCTAACTTGTATTAACTATTGTGCTCTCCATTTTTATCCTATTTTGACTTCATCCAAAACATATAACGTGTTAACATAACAATGTACCTAGCAATGCAAAAAATATCAACAGTCTTTTGTAATAAATATTATGCTCTATGTGGCCTTTTTTACGAGATCCACAAGTATTTATGATTATGAATTACTTGTAAAAAACGTAAAAGAAACTATATCTCACTCTAACTCTTAAAATAAACTCGTCAATTTAAAAAATAGAGAAACTAGTTGTAGTTGTACCATACTCTTCGACTATAGAATTTGTTTAGTTATTCTACACATTGTTTTAAAATAGTAAACAAAGTTGGGATACTCTATTAACTTTCTTCATTAACTATGATTTTTTAATTCCCATTAATTATAATTATTTTGTTGTGGGCTATTGACAATTGCTCATTGGATATGGTGCTGACTGGTTTTCTATCCGAAGATTCTAGTTTTGTTAATGGGGCCTTAAGTCTTGTTTGGTATACGATCCTTTTTTTTATAATGCTTGAGGAAAGAATTAGGAAATCCGTGGCCAAGGGAAGAAAATGATTATTGAAAGGATGAGAGGTGGGAGGTGGTGCTTTATAAATTTAAGAGACGGCAGAATTTGATTCCTTATTATTAAATTGAAGCTTTTAGCTGCTTTTCTTCCAATGTTGGATTTTGTGTTTGACTCTGGCCATCCAGGATATTATAAATAAGAGACCTTTTTAATTAGTTTTTTTACTTAATTATATTTTAATTGAGCCTGAGTTATGTGTCATTTAAGATTAGGATTAGGATTGCATTGTTTTCCATCCCTTAATATCATTTTTACTCTTTTATTTTAGAAGTAGGTTAACATCAAACTGGGGTGTCTTCTTTGGGTCCACTCTAACTGGACACTAGTGTTGTGTAAAGTGGACTTGAAGATCAGAGAGGCCGGTAGCTGGCGAAAGCTCTTGCTCTTGTGCTAGAGAATCTCAATTTCCCCACAAGAATTTGAGATTTTGTTCTTTTCTTTTTATTTTTATTTTTCTGTTGGAAGGGAGTGAGGTTAGAAATGTGAATGGGTTAGGGTTAGGGTAATTGGTAAGGATTGTGATTCCCCCTTTGCAAAATCGACTCCCTCTACTGTTAAGTGGAAAAAAAATGAAGAAGTTAAGCGAATTACAGACATGCTTTTTAAATCAAGTCACATAAAGCAATTTTGGGCAAAATATTTTCACAATGTATATATACGTAGGGTAATTTTCTGTCATTCTCTGAGGTCATTGTTTAGCATTTGTCAACATTTTTCATGCACCATAAGTCATCAAAGTTAGGTTTGGAAGTAAATGATAGGCACTTTTTTTTCTTTTCCGTTTTTGGTGAGTGGCGCATCTTAGGTTTGATGCCATTGCCATCTCATTCTAAAGCGGGAGCGTGCGCATGTTTTTTTTTATACCATCCTTGATTGGAAAACGAAAAACAAAAGAGACAAAAACAGAAAATGAACATGTTAATGTGACTAAACAGTGCAACAGCCATGTGAATGTGCCATTTGTTTAAGGGGAAGGACTGAGACAAGTCTAGTAGTAGCTGCTGCCAGCAGTCATATTGTAGGGCCACGTATGAGTTTCTGAGGTGGATTGGATTTAGTCCCAACCGCTGGAGAAATTTTTATAATTTTAGCTAATTGGGTTCGTCGAGTAAACTTAATTTTTTGATCATGGAGAGGTCACAAGGCCCAAAACAAATAGAACAACTAGCCCATTGGGCTTATACACACTACTCATGGTCCAAAAACACCAGCAAGATCATTCAGAAGTCAGAACAGTTGACCAAAGGTACATAAGTGAAAGCAATTTTCTACAATATATATCAAGTGTGTTCAACAGGACAAGAGCCACAAATTTATTTCACCTGCTGCTAGTTTGAATGTGTCCTCTACTGATAATGTCTCAGGGAAATGATCACAAGCTCCACCCGCCTGATTCAGAAAGAAGAGTATAAAGCCAGCAGATTAATTAATCAAGTGATCATTATAATTATAATTAATATTTTGGGTTACTAATTAAGCATGAATTCTTAAGACTTACATGAGCATGGATCATGTACATGCAACGATATTGATCCGAGGAGATGTGAGCAGAGACTACATCCAGCTCATGCTTCTCTAGAATGTACAAGATGGTTGTCAAGAGCCCTGGCTTTCTCGGCGAACAAACACTGAACTGAGCATCAGGGCCGCAAATGTTCAAGACAACAGTTGGCGAAAACCACGTCTCGAAGCAAGCGGGAAAAAGAGAAGCTGGGAATGCATTTGTGACCATCAAGTTCTTTGATGGATGTAGATGATCAGCCAAAAACGCTTCCCTTGTCTCACCAGCTAGCTCTGTGTTTGATGCTATCAATGCACTAGTGCTCTGGAGTTTGTCGAGCTTTTGTTTTTGTTTTGTTTGAAGAATTTTTTCCAGGGACTTGATATATGTCACTGCCTCATCAACAATGGTGGACTTATCTGCCTGCATACACATCATTGAAACATAACATATATATTTAGACTTGCATTTATATGATCTAAAAGAAACTTTGAGTTTGAAGATTACATGCCTTAGCTGGAAGCTGAGGAAGCAGAGCATGAAGGCTAGAGAACATGTCCCTCATCTTCTTCCTTCTTTCCCTCTCAGTCCAAGTGTGCATGCCATGCTCTGATTCATTACCACCACCACTTGCAGCCTTGCCACTACTTTCTTTGATCACCCCTTTCTCCATTAATGCAGACCCTGAATTAAGATATGAGTTCACATTAACCCCCATCATTTCTAGCTTCAACAACTCTCCACCACCACAAGTGCCTAAATTGGAATTGGGAGATCCCAAAACAGAGTTTTGCTGTAAGCAAGACATTGGGTATTGGCTAAGTGGTCTTATAGATGGGGGGAAAAAGGTGGCTTGGGGAGTTTCAGAATTGAGAAAATATACGAAGGACTTGGTTTAAAAGTTGAATGGGACGTTTTCACAAACAGGTGGAAGGTGACAAAGGTGGTGATGGTAGGCTTTTTGTTGAGCTTTGAGGATTATGATTAGGATTTTGGGCTACACAACAAAATACAATCATACGAATGCCGTTATTTTGGCGTCCAAACAAAAAACGGAAGCTAATTTTAGAGACTTCTTCTTAAGCCGGGCCCTCCAGTCTTCACTTTAATTTACTTATTCACCCTCCTTCCCGCCTTTTATTACCGAATCACCATCCCTCCCACCGGTTTCCTTTTTTTTTGGTTATAGTGTCTCACTCTCGAAGTCTCAGTGGGTACATCATCTCTTCGTTTTTTTTTTTGCCAATTAAAAAATATAATGAAATCCTAATCATAGTTTAATGGTTTGCCTATTAGACTATTTTAGAGAGATATATATTTTTTGGGTGCTAATTTTGTTCTTTTTAGAATAGAAGTTGACAGACAATGGAAGTCCAGTATAGAATAGGACTAATAAAAGGCTATAATCAATTTTTATTTTTTTCCGGTTTCAAGCATATCAATTAGGTTATATATCAACTTCCCAATTAAAAAAAACAAAATTCATTATTTAAGGCAATACTAATCTTTAGGCAATACATATTAAAGTATAATCCATGAGCTATGTCTTGACTAATATTTTATTCATTTTCTTGATCATCGAAAGATGATGAATTCGAGCTTTGAACCTCTTTTAACATTAGAAAGATAAATACTAATATAAGATTACCTATAATCATGTAATTCACTTCGTTACAAAATTTCATGGACACTTGCAACTTCAATGTTATTATCATAATCTGCCTAAGCTCACATGAGTGAAAACTCAACAATGGATTTGATTGGAAGACATGAACCTTCTCCCCCAAAATAGCCTAGACCAACAATCGTATCAGTGGCATGTTGGTGAATTGCAGTGAAGTTGGAGGACGAATAAATTGCAGTTGGCATGAAACGGCCGTTATGACAGACAGGTCTTAGGTGTATGAAAAGGAAAGAAAATCCTGACACCGAAACTGCAGCCAAAGAAAAGCATCGCATCCTTTTCAAACATTGTCTCATTGCAGAGAATGAGACAAACTCTTCTGATCTTCCATAAAAAACGCTTACTTCTTTACCTGTAACGCTATCGCTACTCATCAGCCTTGTACCCATTTGATGCCTTACCCGAATTCTCAAACATTGGCATTCCAATGGCATTTCTGATAATAGTTCATATGCCACTGTATATAATTAAGGTTTTTCGGGAAAAGAAAATAAAGATCATGGACAGCAATTGAGATATGAGATATCCATCCAAAGCTACAAAAGACCATGGCTTTATAAATGGCAAATACCATGACTGGTGAGTATTTTTATACAAGTACAAGTTAAGAAGAATCGACAGTAAAAAATCCCACAATCGTGTCGATCTGTTACACTAGAAAAATATGAAATATGTAACCTGATCAAGTTTTAAAAGTCAGCAGTTTGAAGGACCATGGTTGTTTCTTGGTTGAAGAAAAGAACTGTATGAAAACAGGCTGCAATGTCATACATCCGGCCGCTTTGTGGACAATATGTCGACATGTGATGAAGAGTTCTTCCCAGTCTCGCTGATATCTAATTTTGCTTGTGGTTCACCGTCTCTGAAGAGTTCCTTCACATGGCAAGAAAACGAACAGTGTTAGTTCCCAAAATTCTAATATATTACTTCTGCCATTCATGCTAGATTTACCTTAGAAGATGTGGGGACACTGAAGGGTCTGTAAAGAGCTTGAATCGATGGTTCAAACCCATATGTGGCTTCCGATGTGGGGACATTTGCAACTGAAGGTAAGACCATTGGCTGGTTTGAGATTGTGCATCCAGGGGAAATATTAAACGCAGATTGCATCGGGTTCTCTTCACCCTCATAAAATGGACTTATTCCTCTGCTAGATTTTGGAAATTTATTACTTCCTTCTTCAAGGCCTAATCCCATATGAGGCAACTGCATAGGCTGCATGACTCCTGGTAAGCACATTGGATGCAAGCTCAATCCATTTTTCATTGTTAACATCTGCAAATATAATCAGAAGCAAAAAGTATATCAGCTTTAGAATACTAAATAAATTTCCTTCGAAGACTCTTTCAGCATTATGAAAGAGGGAGTGATGAAGGAGATTTTAAAGAAACAACATTTCAAGCAGCAGTCTCATACACAAGACAACCTAATTTAGCTGTGCATCCCAGAAATCTTTCAAAGGAATCCCAATTACTGTTAGATGTCAACTAAAAAACTTTGTCCTCCTCTCATAGAAAATAAAATTGTGCATCATCAGAGAACATAGGTGCTGATAGGTCGGAAGATGAGTATAATGGGTTCTTCAGTGGATGAAAGCAACACTTTATGGTGTCAAACGAAGATGCCATAACAATGTTAATATAACAATGCATACCACATAGCATATCATACAGGGTCCTGATCTATTTTACTCAAGATTTTATATGATTATTTCGGCATCCCCTGCCACATGTGGCTACATTTTATGTAATTTTTCATTGAGTTTGAGAAGTCTACCAAGTTTCCAGATAAGAAACGTTGGGACATTTGCTGTTTATTAAGAATTACTGCAGCAGCACAGTTTAATCAGGTTTACATTAAGTGCTTCACCAAGAGTTTTTTAAACTTTAGTTCATTCTAAACCAAGTCAGCTAGAATCAAACCAATTGTCACTCAGTTCCGCTTCAGAGCAAAGTTCTGTCTTTAATTGTGTCGCATCTTATTGCCACACCAAGCAGCAAAAGTAGCAATCAGTAAAATCCATTTTATATTTGAATTTAGACAGCATTTAGACAGCGGTATATCAAAAGATCCCAATTGCTCATAATCTTAATCAGAATTATATTCACAAAACAGTGAAAACGATCTCACCTGTACTTGAAGTTGGAGCTGCTTCAAATATTCAATTGCTTCATCCAGCATTGAAGCCTTATCCGTCTTACAAAAACAAGAGAGCAATGAAATTATTTGAAAAATAAAGCACAAAAAAGGCTGTAGAAGTTTTTGTTTAAGAGTTACCTTGTTCGAATTTGGAATCAGGTTCTGCAAGGCTTTCATTTTCTCATTGATCCTACTCCTCCTTCTCTGTCCACCAATCAATAAAACCCAGAAATCAAAATTTCATTTGTCACATGCTCAAATCTTAAACCTTTACACAAGGAGAAAAGAGCCAACCTTTTCCGACATATTATGGACCTCCGCAGCTCTGCTCCTCTTGGATAAACTACGCGGCGGAGCTGGGTTCAATGGCACCTCAGACCGGTCGTGACCCTTCTAATTCCACCAAAAGCCCCCAAAGGTTTCAAATTTCCACGCAATTAAGGTTGAACAAACTGATACAAATAGAGCTAAGACAACAAAAATGCCATCTTTGTCTTTTTATTACTGTCTTTTGAATTGGGCCAAAAAAGAAGTGCGGCAACAGAATTCAAAAGTTGCTTCCTTTAAATGTTCTACCTAATTTACTTAGCAACCAAACAGAATTAAGAAAGAAAAAAAAACAAAGAAATACCTCACTATCATAGCTAAAGTCACCGAGATCATTCTCAGACGAAATCCTTCTCCCCTTCAAGGACGTGTTCGCGTCAGACTCCATACCTTCTTTTACCTCTGCCTGGAAATAGCCACCGGAATCGGTGAAATCGAAACCGGACGAAGACTCGACAACCGCAGCAGCGGAGTTCCCGTCCACGACTCGCCGGTCCTCCGATCGGGCGAACCGGTGATAATCTTCATGCCTAGTCTCCGAAATCAAGACCTCGGTCGACGTCGTAGTGAGGTGCGGCGCCACTGAGGAATGCAGTAGATGCGTGTAAGTGGGCTTAAAGGGCATGCAAGACGAGGAAGGGGAAGCGGAGGAGCCGTGGCCGTGGAGGAGTTGGCTGAGAATGTTCGAGATTTCTTCGGAGTCTGGAGCTGTCCCGTACAGATCCGCCATAGTTGAAAAAACCTAAGAGGACGAGAAATTCAACAAAGTGCAGTCGTCGATACTCAGCTGGAGGAAGGAGGGAAGGTTCTTAGTTTGTTAGCTTCGTCATCGCTCCTTTGCTTTCTCTCCACTTTTTCTTGGTGGCTTTGGCTTCTCTCTCTCTCTCTCTCTCTTTTTCTGTGCAGTCAGTCCGTAAATCTTTAACAAAGGTTTAAACCTCTAAAGCTCGCAATTTGATTATTCTCCCGCGCTAATTGTCAATTTCTCAGATACAGTATCTTGTTCAGAAATTCCCATTTATTTAATTGTTTTATTTACTTTTGTTTTTGAGCTCCCATTGTTTTTGGTATATTGCAGATTGGTCCCTTGTTTTTTGTTATTTACCATAATGGGTCGTTTTCGTAACAAATTGTTGTGTGATGTACATTACACACCAATCATAATCTTTAGGGAGATTCACTATTATACACAATATAATAGTCCAAATTATAAAAACACCTTATATAAAATGGACTTTAGAAACACACCCAAAGCTCATTTACAACATAACAAAAAGGTTTTTAACTTCTTTTAAATTACAAAACTGCAATTGATTTCTTAAAACAACCCAACTCCAAAATCTCATAAAAAAGCCCAAAACACTCAATAAGGCATCAAAATAATTTAATAATCAAAATTAAATTCAATAAGGTCAGTTATCATTTTTTTGGTTTGTTTATAAAAATTAAATGGTGTAGGATTTATCTATATTATTAGTGCTAAGAATTGGTATATAACTAAATATCTCTAATCTTTATTCTAAACTACTCTTAATGTAGGGCAAACTTGTACATTCAACGGTTATTGAACTCGTTTCTCTTAAGAATTTTCAGAATCATAATCATGAAACATAAGAACATGAGAATACAAAGATTGTTGGAGATATTCTTAGCTTCCAATCATACTATTTCATTCATGAAATTTAAATTATTTTTTATAAAGATAATATAAATAAATTGGAAGATAAGATATTTGATAACTAGTAGTCACAACACTTTATCTCTTCTCGAATTTAAGACCTATAGCTGGTTGGCTCAAACAAACTATTTTTTTGTTGTTGACGTTTTTCTATATTTTACCTAGGAAATTTCAGTTAGGTCCCTTTGAGCTGTTAACTTGTTACAGTCAATTTGTCAAAAAACGAAAAACCCAATAGGAAAAATTCAAATAAACTTTTTTCGTGTGTGCATTTCATAATTTTTGTTACTTGCAATAAAAATAAATAAACAAATGTGCGTTGTTCAACGTCCTAACGGGTTAAAAGTCAAACACATCATATCATGTCGTTCATCACCGTCTTATCCAACCAAGGAAGAATTTATGAAGGGGACCAAAAAGTGCAATTCCCGAGGCGCCCTTTTGGTGGCGTGTTATTGTGTTCCTACAAGCTCTGCATCACACGATTTCATTTTCAAAGGCCTACTTCTTCTGTCTCTGTCTTGTGCCTCGTCTTTTTTCCTTTACAGGAAATCTACCTACGCCTTGCCTTCCAACCCTAAAAGTGACCCAAGAACCTGACAGAGGAAACAGAGAAGAATTTCGACTGATTGACTGTTATGAGCATTTTGATTCATGAGCTTGATTGAAGCTTCTGCCTTGTTTCATGGTCTGCTTTGGCTACCATAGTTGTTCAAAGCTAAGAAGCTTCATGCATCAAGTACAGGACAAAAAGATGAGCCTCATTGACATTTTCTGTAAAATATCAAAATGGGCACCCTAGAAGTGAAGACTATGATCTAAGACCTTACTGCATTGCATAGTTTGAACAGAAACTTGGAACAATCATATGCTTCAACACCATGAAGTTGCAAAGAAAAGGCTTAAAAGAGAAGCATAGATATTGATACTAGTTTGTTTTGAAATCTTAGCAAGATGTAACAAAAAAATCTGCAGCACCAATGGGGTCAAACTATTACAAAACATAAAAACCTAATCATTCATTGATAAAATGAAAAGTCACTGCCAGTTTTGCTTTTCCAACTTTGAAATTTGCTGCCTCCAATAAGAGGCCTGGTTTTAAATAAAAATAAAAAATAATAGTAATTTTCCGCTTCGACTCTTGGTGAAGTAGTTCTTTGGACTAACTTCAATTTGACAACCACGGAAAGGGGGAGGCATTGAGGCATTGGGTCTCGGTGAGCCATCATATAGGCTGCCCAATTCCATAAGGAACCCTCTTTAACCTAATTTGAAGAAAAACTAGCCTGCAAAAACATTGATGTCGTCGACTCATGTTGCGAGGGCTGTAGTTTTACAGATGGGGCACAAATTCTTGTGCTTCAGCCATTGTTTTATGCAGTCGCTGTGGAAATCATGTCCGCATTCAAGCATTCCAAGATCTTCTCCATCATTATATTCCTCCTGCATATAACGGTATAAATAAGTCAAGCAAGATAAAACATCATGTAATGTAACACAGAGATGCAGCAATATGCGGTCATTACCTGACATACACAACATGGCTCTGTCTCTGCCTGAGATCCTACTGCAATATACTTCTTATGTTTCAAGCGATTTGATATTGTTTCTTCACTTAATCCCGTGCTCACATTTCCAATGCGCTCTTCCAGAGCCAATAACTCCTACATTAATAATAAAGTTTGTTTTGTCTCAGTAATCTCATTTATACCAATGCCGAACCAAATGTTTTTTTTTCTGTGTGTGGGGTAGTGTCAGTTACCTCGTAAGACATATTATCAACATCAAGTCGCATATCCCTATGCCGGTCATGAATATCAGCCACCCCAAAAAGAACTGATTGATCAAGAATCATAACATCCTGACATAAAGAAGCATAAGTCAAATGTCTGAACACCCAAAAAGAAATTATCACATCTGTTTAACAGCTTTTAGTTATAATATTCTTATACAAGAGAATAGATACATTGAGTTCCCAAATTCACAAGGACAAGACATATATTCCCTTAAACTTCCAAAACCTGTATAGAGAATAAAGTATTTGCGCTTTACCAAGACAATGATCCTTTTTCAAAACTGTAATTACACTGATGTATACACATAAAATTCTAACCTCAAATCGCAAGCTCTCGCCCCTACGCATGAGACCCAAGACATTGCAAATTTGCTGAAAAGAGAAAAGAAAAACTTCATAAGTTCTAGATGATCATCCATAACTAGTAAAATAATATGAACTTCAAAGTACTAGACTAACAAAAAAACTTGGATAAAATAACATGAGAAATTTATATTAATTATGAATACTCATAAGAGACTAAACATACAGACACGTATATATCTGCCTGAAAAGAGATACAATCTATCGTAACTGAAAAAAAAGAAGAAAAAGTACAATCTATATGTATGTATATTATATTGCTTAGAGCTTATATATATCATACGTGAAACAGATGAAAGAAGGTCCCATTCTACGAACTTACACTTCTCAATAACTTGATGCCCCATATTATGATTTCTAAAACTTAACAAATTGAATAAGTTGAAAAAGCATATATCTTCACCATCCGATAACATTCAATATCAGAACCAGTACAAGTAATATTTTGATAAGACTGGGGGAAAACTGATGACTAGGGGCAAACAGGTGATTTCTTAATCCATGCATCATTGCGGTCATAATTATAATCAGACATTTGATGGTATCAGAATCAACAGGTGATTAAGAACAATTGTGAGTACTCCTGATATTCATCAGAATGCTTGAAATAATATATATATATATAGAAAGGAAAACCTCACAGCCAGAGAAAGAGAGTTCTAAAACACACCTCAGATACAAGCCTGTTACTTCCTTCGCCAGCACCAGCCAAAGTTCGTAACGAATAGGGAACCCCAAGTCCACCATCACCATGTCTCTCCATCCAAGATGCTGACCTTGGGTGAGAATGATGATGACCCTGGTTACCAGCACCAGATGAATTACCTATCTCTGCTGATGATGCAGGAGCCGAACGCAGTGGCAAATAATTGGTGCCCTGGCTCCCAGACTCATTACCAGTAGCAGAAAACAATGATCGACGAACATATTCAGATAATCTTCGAGGAAATTGCGGATGTGAATTGTGATGAGGAATCCACGTAGGTGCAGATGCTGGATGAACACTTGAACTTGAGCCAGTCCGGGATGCAGAAGCAACATTTCCAGGAATACTTGCATTTCCACCGGTTAAATTTCTATTGGATGCACCTGCAGGATGCCGAGCGGAATTTCTCAATTCAGTTGCTGGTACAAAAATAGGATGATCCAAAATGTGTCTTGCCATGCTTCTTGAGTTCACTTCTTCACGCGGTGGAGCATCCCTGTCTCCAAAAACCACAGAATTGGATAAGCTGCCAGTTCTTGAGCTAGAACCTCCTCCACTCCATCTTAATGATTGCACATTTTGTGGCAAAGCAGGAACATGGATGACAACTGGCTGGTTCTGTGAACTCATATTATCTAGTGCTGGTGCTGGTCCCAGGTCCATATTATGATCAACTGGAAGAAGACTTGGTGAATGCTGGGAAGACGAGACACCAGAATGCCTAACAGCCCTCCCTGTTGAGAACCTAGCAGAGGGTATAGAACTTTGTTGATTTGAAGGATTGATTCTCACACGGAAGTTCCTGTGAGAGCCTTCTGAACTTCTTCCAGCATTTGAATCAGGAAGGCTGTCAGAAGTGAGCTCTCTCCCTCCTGCCCCAAGTCTTGGATTCCCCTGTTCTGAGGGGGCAGATATGCTTAGGCTGCCGCCTGCATTATAGTGAGCAGGAATAGAAGGCCTTCCACCACTTTCTGTATGCTGAAAGTAACTACAACTTCCACTTACGGAAGACTGTCCTATATTTCCCTCAATAGCCTTTCTTTTGCAAGATACACGACGACCCTCCAATGAACAACCTGGTCTGCCATCATTCTCTCCAACTAAAAATCCAGCACTTCCAGAAGGAAGCATAAAAGGATCAGAACTACTAGGAGGTCGAATTCGCTCATTTTCAGATACATTATACTTGTATGTATTTGGACATTCCATGACTTGACTATTATCACCACCATGACCCACAAAACCCGCATTCAAGTTCAGATTCTGTGGAATTGCATCAGAACTGGAACTTTGTGTAAAAATAGGATTCACGTTGTTGTCCAGTGAAAGGTTATTAGTTGGTTCATAACGCCGCTCCTCTGACCTT